GAGAATGAAGTACTCACAAATAAATATTCACTGTTGTTTACTTAACTTTGCAAAGTACTTGCAAATGAAGAGTTCAATCTATTTTTCTTGGTCTATTTAAGTGTAATTGTGAATGGTTGATTTGATCACTCTCACAGATTAGCTGATACTGATAAACTATACATTTCAATTTATTTAGTCTGGATAAAATGGCAGATTATCTGCTTAAAAATACCACAAAATCTGAACTCTTTAGTGTGCAATGCATAGAGGGCTCTTAATGTTTTTGTGTTTGTAAAGTACTTTGTACACTGTGTCTGTTTTGGTAATGCATGTACATGTACATTGTATAATAATCATAAATTCACATTCTATCTCATGGGCATTTAAATTAACATTGATTTCTGAAATAGTAGATTTTACTTATGGTGATTGATATCTATGTCTTGAATTTAAGTATATATTAGAATTTTATAAGTATGTATTTGAATGGAAAAATTTATGTGTTTTACACAGAATTACTAGTTATTGTACAACCCATTGTCAAAAGGGTATATATCTGCAAAGACATTGTGAATAGTTGCCCCTGTGTTGTGAAAAGACTAGCTGATAGCTGTGTTAATGTAGTACTGTTATATCAACATTCCGTTTATAGAAAAGACTATCTCCTGTGTTGCATGTGAAATTTAAAAACCAACATTCCATATTTGAAAAGACGATCTATCATGTTAAATATGAAACTGTTAAACCAGTTACGTTCCATTTCTGAAAAGACTGCCTCCTGTGTTACATGTGAAACTGTTATCTACATTTCTGAAAAGACTGCCTCGTTTCACATGTGAAATTGTAATTAATATATTCTACTTTCTGTTTCTGAAAAGACTGGCTTCCTTAATTTGCTATGTACATTGAATGTGAAACTGTTATTATCTGTTGTACATAATTATATTAATTAAGACTAATCATGTAAATACTTTGTCCAGACTTGTTGCTTAAACATATATTCTTTGGGAGGTCTTCTTATCAAGCCATCCTTATTTTTGCATTACACATGTTACATGTATTTCCAAATCTATATTTTAAATAACTCCATACATGTATATTGAAATTTTATGCAAAAACATAAATAGATATATCTCATAAATTTAGAATCCTTACCGTCATTTACCACAAAAAATAAATTGGAATTTACAGACAACACAATTCAAGAAACTACTACATGTAGTATATATACATAATAAAACACCATTTCTCTGGATTTATCATATCTTATGATTTTAAGATCTATTTTTCTAAAAAAAAAAGTGTTGATAAATGTATTCAGGTCTTTGTAAACAACTTTTAATCTTTCTTTTCGCTTTCGTTATGTAAGATTAAAGAAGTTGTTCTCTACAACCACTGAATACAGCTAAATTTCCTTGAAATATATCAATAACTATCAATTTTCATTATGCAGATATTTTAATTTTTAAAAATTGTAATCAATGTATGTATAAGTTCACTGGTCTAGGTAATCTTTGCATATTTATTGATTTATTTTCTTTGGGGGGAGGGGGGGGGCTGCATTGATTCAAAATGCTTTGGAGCAGAATGATTAAAATGTTGTATTAAATCAGAGACATATAAAACCATGGTTTTATATGTCTCTGTTTAAATTTATTTCTATTGTTTTTGCCATAGTGCATTTACATGTTCATTACATTTTTGATCGCGTTGTAAAAATTTAAGGAAAATTTTATGGTTCAATTTTTACTACTAACATGTATTTGTGCAAATTTTAAAATGTATGTATATATATAAAATTTATGCTTAGTGAACAAATTCAGGTATATGAAAAAAAAAACATGTTCATGTTACTATAATTTTACATTATTTATCTATTTTTATGCTCTAACTGTCTGAAATCACCAAAGACATTAAACATTCACTTTTTTAAAGGTAAGTAGCATAGAAAGAAGGGGGTCAATGGCCAGCCCGTAAAGGGAGGTAAACCTTGCTTCTTTCGGATGATATAGAAATAAAGTGAAGATTGCTTCATACATAGTATGTTTGGTGGTAAAATTTCAGAAAGTAGACCAATTAGGTATTTGCATATTGTTTGAAAATTGAACAAAGTAATTAAAATAATAAATGAATTGTTCACCAAGCTTTCTAAATAAATGCAATGCTATAGTCAATAAATACAATGTCATTATTTCAGTCATTATTGTGCACAATTTAAAAGTCAATTATTGAACCATTGATTGTACTAGTAACATGTTTATAGAAACATGCATTTCAGTGTGTAAATTAAGCAGTGATTTATATTTACATTGATGTTCTCTTTTGCCGTGGAGTCTGCTTTACATTATCTTGTTTTTAAATTTCCCTTACTTTGATTTTTTTGTTTGTTGAGTATAATTGTGCCATATTTTCATTTAAGCTGTTGTACAATTGTAGATACTATGATATAAGATGCTTTCTTTTCAAAATCTGATGTTCTGAATAATTTCATTGCTTAATACATGAAAATCATCATACTGAGTGAATTTAGAACTCCAATAAATCTAATGACTTCTTTTGAATGTTTGATTTTTTATTACAGTATGTTTAAAAGACTGTAAGAAGGGACAAATTTAACATTAATATATATAAGAACCACAAAGTGCAGGATTTATCACTATAGAATTTCAAATTTTAATGTCACACTTTAAGTTTACAGTTGTGACAAAAGTTGTTTAGTATGGATAGAAGGACTCTCTAACTTGCACAGGGTCAGTATTACTCAAGGGTCCCGCATCTTCGTACTGCAAATGCATTGTAAGTTGCATAACAAAGAACATTTCATCATTATGTGATACTTCAATAATGTTCTGCGAAAAATAAAAAAATCTGAAATTCGTGCATTGATGGCACATAATAATGATACAGAATTATTACATGAAAATGAAGCAAGTAGCTTACATAACCCTACTGTAATTCAAGTTTCCTGAGGTAAAGGTGTGTATTTCTTCCTTCATTATTTTGGTTTTACTCAGTTCAGAGACTTGTTTCATGATACTCAGGTGACCTATAAGGCCCATGGGCCTCTTGTTTAAAATATATTTTGACCAACATCACAAAATTTATTTAACTGGCCAAAACTGGCAGATGATGAAATAAGCAATTAAATATTCAACTTTACTATTTGTAAGTATTATGTGTCCAGTAGAAGGAGCCTATTAAGACAGCATAAAAAAAGAATGTACAAATGTTAATAATTGATTTATCAAAAAAAAAAATTATTTCCTTTTCCTTCGGGACTTTTTATTCTCATGTTCATAACTAAACCTAAACATAAAAAAAAAAATGCTGGCCTTATAATGAAGAAAGGGGCCTCTTTCAAAATAGATATTTTCAGGGCTGCTGGGTCAGGGGTACCAAGGGGGTACTTTGACTAAAAATAAATTAATGCTTTGGAATCTGCCCTCGATAAGCAATGGTGCCTCTTTCAAAATTTGTGTATTTAATGGCTTTTGGCTTAAAACACGAACCACATACAATCGCTGGAAAGTTGTTACATGATACTCAGGTGACCTATAAGGCCCGTGGGCCTCTTGTGTTATGTAAATAAAAGAAATTCTTTCATATACATCATTATTTAAGAGCCCATAAATCGCAAGCAAAATGCAAAAAGGGGGGGGGGAGGGGCGGCATCATGCCATCATTTTACAAAAACAGGTTTCATGAATATAAAAACATTTTAGAATTGGCCAACAAAGCTACATATTTTAACTCCATATTAAACGTGAGTACATGTATGTAATAATTTCGATCTCCAAATTATATTAAAAAAATAATTAAAAAAAAAACAGAAACGTTTCACTGAACCATCTTCCTTTTTAGTTTCAAATTGAAGTGGGGAGTTCAGCAGTAATCCTCAGCAATAAATATTATTGTAACTTATTTTTCAGGATTTTTAGGTCACCTGAGTAAACTCAGGTGACCTATTGCTATCCGTTTTTGTCCGTCGTCGTCCGTTGTCTGTCGTCCGTCGTGCGTTAACATTTAAACATTTTCAGCTTCTTCTCTGAAACCACTGAACCAATTTCAACCAAATTTGGCATATAGCATCTATGGGTGAAGGGGAACAAAAATTGTGAATTTCGTGGTACCCGCCCCCCTGGGGCCGGGGGGGGGGGCAAAAACCACTAAAAATAGTGCAATCTTTAAAAGTCTTCTTCTTTACTCCCGGATATCAAGCAGTCAAACTGTTGGTATAATTGTAATCAGCATTGAGTCCTCTACCAAAATTGTGAAATTCATGGCCCCAGGGTCAGGGGTTCTGGTGTTAGGGCGGGGCTCTATTGATTATATAGTGAAAATGCAGTAAGTCTTTAAAAATCTTCTTCTCTGCTCCTGGGTATTAAATAAACAAATTAAGTTCATAGTTATGATGAGCAAGAGTGCCTCTACCAAAATTGTGAAACTCATGGCCCCAGGGTCAGGGGTTCTGGTGTTGGGGCGGGGCTCTATTGATTATATAGTGAAAATGCATTAAATCTTTGAAAATCTTCTTCTCTGCTCCTAGGTTTTAAATAAACTAACTAAGTACATAGTTATGATGAGCAAGAGTGCCTCTACCAAAATTGTGAATTTTATGGCCCCAGGTTCAGGGGTTCTGGTGTTAGGGCGGGGCTCTATATTGATTATATAATGAAAATGCATTAAATCTTTGAAAATCTTCTTCTCTGCTCCTAGGTATTAAATACACTAATTCAGTAAATAATTATGAGGAGCAAGAGTGCCTCTACCAAATTGTGAAATTCATGGCCCCAGGGTCAGGGGTTCTGGTGTTAGGGCAGGGCTCTATTGTTTATATAGTGAAAATGTATTAAATTTTTGAAAATCTTCTTCTCTGCTCCTAGGATTTTAAAGACTTCACAAAATTCAGGTTTACATTTCCATGAATAATCTAAAATATATATTACAATAACATTAGTTTTCAAGACATTGAAGCTATACAGAAATATTTACTCATTGTACTGTGTTGATTTTGACAGGTCTCCCAGGATGTGCTGTTGAAGTATGTAAAGCTAAAGAAGTGGAAGGAGTCACCATTTTGACAGGTTTAACTAATGCCTAAATTAAGTTTTTCAGCTCACGTGAGCCGATCGAAGGCTCAAGTGAGCTTTTCTGATCACATTTTGTCCGGCGTTAGGTCTGTCTGTAAACTTTTCACATTTTCGGTTCTTCTGAAGAACCACTATACCAATTTCAACCAAACTTGCACACAGCATCCTTGGATACTGGGAATTTTGAATTTGTTCAAATCAAGGGTCACACCCTCTTCCAAGGGGAGATAATTATGAATCAGTGTAAAAATTAATTGCATCTTTTAAAAATCTTCTTCTCCAAAACCCTTGGGCCAGGAAAGATGAAACTCATGTTGAAGCATCCTCAGGTAGTGTAGATTCAAGTTTGTTCAAATCAAGACTCCCAGGGATAGGGCAAGGCCATAATTGATGATTAAAGTTTTACATAGGAATGAATACATTGGAAAATCATTTTTTTAAAAACTCTTCTTTTTAAGAACTATAAAGATATGATTGGTCATATCTTTATGTAAGCATCCTTACGTAGAGTTGATTCAAGTTTGTTCAAGTCATGAATGTGAAGTAAGGGGTTAGTAGGGTGGGCCACTATTGGAAATCTATAAATATCAAGGAATTTTTTTCCCCAAGAACAGAAAAGCAATGTTTAATCATATAGATATGGAGGCATTCTCAGGTAGTACAAAGTCATACTGGTTCAAATGGGGGCTACCACGGTTAGGGCTGGGCCACAAGGGGGGGGGGGGGTCAAACGAATAACTAGGGAAAAATCATCTGCTCAAAAACAGTAATGGCATTTGTTGTATGGAAGCATCATCGGGTAGTTGGTAGTTTAAAATTTCAGATCCCCCCATCTAAACTACTCAATACTGAGTGAATTCTGCTTTTTTTCCTAGCTATAGTGCTCAGGTGAGCGATGTGCCCCATGGGCCTCTTGTTTGATATAAGGGGTTGGTATTTTAAAGACTTGACAAAATCCAGGTCTACATTTCCATGAGTAATCTAAAATATATCATACAATAACATTAGTTTTGAAGACATTGAAGCTATTCAGAAATATTTACTTATTGTACTGTGTTGATTTTGACAGGTCTCCCAGGATGTGCTGTTGAAGTATATAAAGCCAAAGAAGGGGAAGAAATCACCATTTTGACAGGTTTAACTAATGCCTAAATTTAGTTTTTTAGCTTTTGAGCTTTTCTGATCACATTTTGCCCGGTATCCGTCTGTCTGTCTGTTCGTAAACTTTTCACATTTTCGACTTCTTCTCATAAACCACTGGGCCAATTTCAACCAAACATGCTACAAAGCATCCTTGGGTAAAGGGGATTTAAGTTTCTTCAAATGAAGGGCCACGCCCTCATTCAAGGGACATAATTGGGAATTAAGGAAAATTTGGTAGGATGTTTTAAAAATCTTCTTCTTAAGAACCACTGTGCCAGGAAAGATGAAACTTATGGGGAAACATCCTCAGGTAGTGTAGATTCAAGTTTGTTCAAATCATGACCCCTGGAGGTAGGGCGGGGCCAAAATGGCCGACCAAAGTTTTACATAGAAATATATAGGAAAATTTTTAAAAAATCTTCTTCTCAAGAATGACAAAGCCATAATTCATCATATTTAATTGGAAGCATCCTCAGGTAGTGTAGCTTCCATTTCCTTCAAATCTTGACCCCCCGGGTAGGGAAGGTCCACAATGGTCGACCAAAGTTTTACATAGAAATATGTAGGAAAATTCTTTAAAAATTTTCTTCTAAAAAATAGCAAGGCCATAATTGATCATATTCATATGGAAGCATCCTCAGGTTGTGCAGATTCAAGTTTGTTCAAACCATGACCCCCAGGGGTAGGGCGGGGCCACAATAGCCGACCAAAGTTTTTCATAGAAATATATAGGAAAAATCTCATCTTCTCAAGAATAGCAAAGCAATAATTGGTCATGGGACTACTTTAAGTACTTTTGGATTTAAACTTTTCAATAATAAACCAATTTGTATTTTTTCCTAGCCATAGTGCTCAGGTGAGCGATGTCGCCAATTGGCCTCTTGTTTAATATTACGGGTTGGTATTTTAAAGACTTGACAAAATTCGGGTCTACATTTACATGAATAATCTAAAATATACTATACAATAACATTAGTCTTTTAAGACACTGAAGCTATACAGAAATATTTACTCATTGTACTGTGTTTACTTTGACAGGTCTCCCAGGATGTGCTTTTGAAGTATGTAAAGCTAAAGAAGTGGAAGAAGTCACCATTTTGACAGGTTTAACTAATGCCTAAATTTAGTTTTTTAGCTTACCTGATCCGTAGGCTCAAGTGAGCTTTTCTGATCACATTTTGTCCGGCGTCCGTCTGTCTGTAAACTTTTCACATTTTCGACTTCTTCTGAAGAACCACTGGGCCAATTTCAACCAAACTTGCTACAAAGCATCCTTGGATGAAGGGGATTCAAATTTGTTTAAATGAAAGGCCAAGCCCTCTTCCAAGGGGAGATAATTATGAATTAGCAAAAAATTAATTGCTACTTTTAAAAATCTTCTTCTCCAAAACCCTTGGGCCAGGAAAGATGAAACTCATGTTGAAGCATCCTCAGGTAGTGTAGATTCAAGTTTGTTCAAATCAAGACCCCCAGGGGTAGGGCGAGGCCACAATTGACGATTAAAGGTTTACATAGGAATGAATACATTGGAAAATCAAATTTTTTAAAACTCTTCTTTTTAAGAACAATAAAGCCATGATTGGTCATATCTTTATGTAAGCATCCTTATGTAGTGTTGATTCAAGTTTGTTCAAGTCATGAATGTGAAGTAGGGGGTGGGTAGGGTGGGCCACAATTGGAAATCTATAAATATCAAGGAATTTTTTTTCCCAAGAAGGGAAATGCAATGTATAATCATATAGATATGGAGGCGTCCTCAGGTAGTACAAAGTCATACTGGTTCAAATGAGGGCTACCATGGTTAGGGCTGGGCCACAATGGGAGGGGGGGGGGTCAAATGAATAAATAGGGAAAAATCATCTGCTCAAAAACAGTAATGGCATTTGTTGTTTGGAAGCATCATCGGGTAGTTGGTAGTTTAAAATTTAACATCCCCCGGTCTAAACTACTCAATACTGAAGTGATTTCTGCTTTTATTTCCTAACCATAGTGCTCAGGTGAGCAATGTGGCCCATGGGCCTCTTTTTAAATATTAGGGGTTGGTATTTTAAAGACTTGACAAAATTTGGGTCTACATTTACATGAATAATCTAAAATATACTATACAATAACATTAGTCTTTTAAGACACTGAAGCTTTACAGAAATATTTACTCATTGTACTGTGTTGATTTTGACAGGTCTCCCAGGATGTGCTGTTGAAGTATGTAAAGCTAAAGAAGAGGAAGAACTCACCATTTTGACAGGTTTAACTAATGCCTAATAACTAAGTCATGTATGTGAAGTAGGGGGTAGGTAGGGTGGGCCACAATTGGAAATTTATAAGTACAATTTACAATAATTTACAATGGGAGGGAGGGGGTCAAATGAATAAATAGGGAAAAATCATCTGCTCAAAAACAGTAATGGCATTTGTTGTATGGAAGCATCATCGGGTAGTTGGTAGTTTAAAATTTCAGATCCCCTCCCCCCATCTAAACTACTCAATACTGAAGTGATTTCTGCTTTTATTTCTTAGCCAGTGAAAAAAAAAAAAAAAAAAAAAACTTTTCTTTCTTAGCCAGTGAGTCCCATGGGAATCCGGGTTAGAATAAGTCCTCAGTACCCCTTGCTTGTCGTAAAAGGCGAATAAATGGGGCGGTCCTTCGGATGAGACCGCATAAACCGAAGCCCCGTGTCACAGCAGGTGTGGCACAATAAAGATCCCTCCCTGCTCAAAGGCTGTAAGTGCCGAGCATAGGCCAAAATTTGCAGCCCTTCACCGGCAATGGTGACGTCTCCATATCAGTGAAATATTCTGGAGAGGGACGTTAAACAGTATACAATCAATCAATCTTAGCCAGTGTGCTCAGGTGAGCGATGTGGCTCATGGGCCTCTTGTTATAACTGTGTTAAAGTACACAGTAATCATACCCATCTATAGAGTCTCATAGTTACTGTAGAACTTTCCTATCTAACACTTTATTGTAATAACTATGAATTAGTAATGGTAAGAATGCAGTTTTTATCATGATTTTTCTTCTGTAAATTATAAAGTTTACAGACTGAATTGTAAATACAATGTTATTGAATGTCAGGTTTTAAATGATTTCATGTTAACATCTGTAAGAATCTGAACTGTTTTCCAGTATGTCACAATTTATATGTGTTTTAATTTATAAATATTGCTTTGTTAGACAGGTTTAATTGAGAACACTTGGAGGCTGCTATGAATGGAGACAAAGCATTGAGAAGCCAGTGTCAAGGTATTTATGTTTATCTGTTAATTCTATTTAATTGTTTAAACACTGTATAAGTTCTTAAAACCCAAACATTTTACAATGAGTACATTTGTTATTTATAAACAGTGTGTTCCTGATGTAGATAATTCTAGAACAGTGTTGTAATTTACAGAGAGATCTCCCTGACTGAAATCCACACAGGATTATAAAGTCACAGGAAAAAGAAGTCTGGTGTCAGTGATGTATGAATACGTGTTACAGAAATCTGTCACCGTGTCTGGTGTTAGTGGGTGTAAACACATTACCCACGTGTCATCAGACCGGGTCTGGATCAGTGATGATGAAGGCAATCTCATCTTAACTAACACGAGAGGTGACATTCTAGATCGTGTGACGGATTTACCTCAATATGGTTATGGAGTACATACTGTGACTCAAAATGGTGATGTGATTTATATAGACAGTGACGATAACATCATAAAACGATCTAAAGATAGAGTAAAGACCACAGTAATACCATACACATCACCATGGGAACCAAAGTGTGTCTACAGCTCCCCCTCCACTGGAGACCTGCTGGTCGGGATGTTTAATAACGATACAAAGACAGCCCAGGTAAACCGTCACACTGACACAGGAGAACACATACAGACCATACAGCACAAAAACAAAGGTCAGGGACTGTATAGATGTCCTAAGTACATCACAGAGAACCGCAAAGGAGATGTTATTGTGTCTGACTGGGACCGTTTTGCTGTAGTGGTGACAAACAGAAGAGGAAGACATCGCTTCTCCTACACAGGTCCTCCATCAGGATCACCACTATGGCCACGTGGAATCTGTACTGACGCGCTGTCACACATCCTGGTGTGTGATGTTTACACCAACACAGTACAGATCATTGATAAAAATGGTCACTACCTGACAGAGATAGATACAGAACAACACGGGATAGACACACCATTCAGCCTGAGTTATGATGACAACACCCGCTCTGTCTGGGTAGGATCATACAACAACAACACAGTGAACATCTACAGACTTATCTATGGAGGGGATAATCTGACTGGTAAGTTATACTGAAGTATTATTATATGTTTGTTTACAATGTTTAGTGTGTATAATATAGAATAGTCATTGTTTTATGTGTAATTACAAGACATTAACCAGGAATTATCATAGTGATAACTTTTAAGTGTAAATACATTACATGGTTAATTGAATTCTAACTTGTGTTATGTAACAAGAAATGTTTTTAAGAAAGGATATTAATAGATAAGTTGTCAAATTAATAATGATTTGATCTTCATATTAGATTTAATTAGACATATTAGAGTTATTTTAATATGTACTTAGTTGTTAACTTTCGTCTTTGTTGTCTTTGACAAACTACACCTGAATTTGTACAGTTTGTCTAATGATTTGTTAACACGGTTAAATAACTCTCATTGATTCTGTCTTCTATTTGGGTTGACATGATATTTTTATATTCCTCTGCTAAATGGTTTGTAGGTTAAATTCATAGATCACTACAAAATAATTGTACAATTGGGGTTCATGAGTGTTGGAGGGGGGGGGGGGGGTGTAATGTCATAGACCTTATCATTAGATAATATATACTTTGAATACGTCATTCAATGTGTTAAAACAAAGTTTAATCACATTGACTACAAACATTTTGTACAGTACTGACAGTTAGATATAGACACCATTGATATTAACACAGCTCTGTCTAGGAATGATGTGTATTTCTGTAGCAGGTGTTCAGTAAATCTACACTGTGTACTGGGGTGACATTTTCATGTATATTACATGGAGATTTTATGGTTTAAATGAAACCAATGCCAGAATTATAGAGTCACATCAGTGTAAACCCCCCACCCTCCCACCCCAACTTCACCACACACACACACACTCCCTCACCCTCTCCCTTCCTCACACACACACACAATTTTTTGGGGGGTAGGTTTTGGTGGGAAGGAGGTGTCACACAGTGTCTCACTTTATCATGCTATTTAATCTTTTTCTTTTAAGTACTGTTTTAGTGAAAAAACCCTTTTTGTTTTGTATTTACACAATGCATTATGTTAAAAAGTGAATAATTCTCAGGAACAAAAATGAAAGAAAACAAGCAAATGTGATGTGATGTGGCCCCTGGGCCTCTTGATAAAACTTCTTAAGGTTGATAAGATGACGCAGTTAGTTTTTAGCTCTACTGGTCAGAGACCAGAAGAGCTTATGCGATAGAAATGCATCCAGCGTCTGTCCGTCTGTCTGTCTGTCTGTAAACAATTTTTCAAAATGCTACTATTCCTACAGTTTTGTTCTAATTTCAATATAACTTGGCACACAAGTAGACTACACTAAGATACATAATTCTGTTTATTGTTTTTTGATTTCGATAAAAGGTGTTGCCGTGGTTACTAAAAGTAGAAATTTCTCTGTAATTCCTTTAAAATGCTACTATTCCTACAGTTTTGGTCTGATTTCAATATAACTTGGCACACAAGTAGACTACACAAAGATACATAATTCTATATATCGGTTTTTGATTTCAGTGAACATTGTTGCTATGGTTACTAAAAATAGAAATTTCTGTAAAATTGTTTCAAAATGCTACTCCTAAAGTTTTGGTCTGATTTCAATATAACTTGGCACACAAGTAGACTGCACTAAGATACATAATTCTATACATAGGGTTTGATTTCAATGAAGGATGTTGCCATGGTTACTAAAAATAGAAATTTCTGTGAATTTTTTTCAAAATGCTACTCCTCGTACAGTTTTAGTCTGATTTCAATATAACTTGGCACACAAGTAGATCACACTAAGATACATAATTCTGTATATCTGTTTTTAATTTCAATGAACGGTGTTGCCGTGGTTACTAAAAATAGAAATTTCTGTAAAATTGTTTCAAAATGCCACTCCTCCTACAGTTTTGGTCTGATTCCAATATAACTTGGCACACAAGTAGACTACAGTAAGATCCATAATTCTGTGTATCTGTTTTTGATATCGATGAATGGTGTTGCCGTGGTTACTAAAAATAGAAATGTCTTTAAAATTGTTTCAAAATGCTAATCCTCCTACAGTTTAAGTCTGATTTCGATATAACTTGGCACACAAGTAGACTACACTAAGAACATAAAGAGATTTTATCAAGGATCATTATTCTATTTATTGCTGTTGTTAAGATTCAATTCCCAACTGCTTAAGTACTTTTCTCTTCCTTGCTATAAGTACAAACCAGTAGAGCTTCAGTCTTGACAGAGACTTCTGGTTTATTAGCAGAATAGCTCACCTGAGCCGAAGTGAGCTTTTCTGATCACATTTTGTCCGGCGTCCATCTCTCTAGCTGTCCGTCCGACTGTAAACTTTTCAAATTTTCAACTTTTTCTTAAGAACCACTGGGTCAATATTAACAAAGCTTGATACAAAGCATCCCTGAGTGATGGGGAATTCAGATTGTCAAAATGAAGGGCCAAGTCCCCTTACAATGGGAGATAATCAAGAAAAGATGAAAATAGGGTGGGGTCATTAAAAAATATTCCTCTTAAGAACCACTTGGCCAGAAAAGTTGAAACTTATGTGGCTGCTTCCTGGGGTAGTGTAGATTCTAAATTATTAAAATCATGACCCCCAGGGGTAGGATGGGGGCACAATAGGGAATCTAAGTTTTATATATAAATATATAGGAAACATCTTTAAAAATCTTCTTCTCAAGAAACACTGGGCAGAAAACCTGACACTTATGTAGAAGCATCCTGGCGAAGTGTAGATTCTAAATTGTTAAAACCATGACCCCGGGGGGGCTGGGGGGGTGGGGGGGGGTAGGGCGGAACCACAATAGGGAATCCAAGTTTAACACTGAAATATGTAGGGAAAATCTTTAGAAATCTTCTCAAGAACCAATGGCAAAGAAAAAATGAAACTTACCTGGAAGTATCCTTAGGAAAGAAAAATTCTAACCTATTAAAATCATGACCCCTGGGGATACTAAGGGCGGGGTCACAGTAGGGGATCCTAGTTTTACATAGAAATGCATACGAAAAATTCTCTAAAAATCATTTTATCAAGAATCAACAGGCCATAAAAGCTGAAACTTGAGTTGAAGCAACATGGGGGTAGTGTTGATTCTAAATTGGCGAAATCATGACCCCCGGGGGGTAGGGCGGGTGTTGCCACATTGACACAATAGGGAATCCACGTTTAACATAGAAATATATAGAAAAAAATTTAGAAATTTTCTTTCCAAGAACCACTGAGCCAGTAAAGCTGAAATTTATGTGGAAGCATTCTGGGTAGTGTTGATTCTAAATTTTTAAAATCCTGACCCCGGGGAGGGGGAGGATATGGCCTCACTATGTATTACAAGGGGGGGGGGTTGGTTGAAGGAAGGATATGGAAATAACGAACAGTATTCAATCTCAACGTCCATTAAACAATATACAAAATAAGAGCAGAGCAAACACGGACCTCCGAACCATCAGAGGTGGGATCATGTGCCATGGAGGAGTGAGCATCCCCTGCTGACCGGTCACACCCGCTGTGTGCTCGTTGTCATGATCAGGAAATAATTCAAATAACGGAAAAAATCCGTCGTCAATTCAGTGTATAAATAATGGACTAACAAAAAAGGCATCTCCGAAGTTACTCAGGTGACTCATGTCGCCCATGGACCTCTTGTTTCATGAGTAAAAGACATAACAATTTTCTGTTAAAAAATTGTATTATCTATGTTTGTAAACTTTAAACAGAGGAATTAATTTTTAGCTCACCTCGACGAAGTCGAGATGAGCTTATGCTATACCCCCAGCGTCTGCGTCGGTGTCGGCGTCGGCGTCGGCGTTAGCGTCGGCGTCCCTGGTTAAAGTTTTAGGAGCAAGTCCATTCCCAAGTAACTATAAGCCCAACCTGAACCAAACCTGCATGGATGATGCATCTAGGGATGTACACTACCAGACTTGCTTCGGATGCTGGATCTGACCTACATTTTCTAGATGAGTGACCAGGTTAAAGTTTTTGGAGCAGGTTAAAGTTTTAGGAGCAAGTCCATTCCCAAGTAACTATAAGCCCTACCTGAACCAAACTTGCATGGATGATGCATCTAGGGATGTACACTACCAGACTTGCTTCGGATGCTGGATCTGACCTACATTTTCTAGATGAGTGACCAGGTTAAAGTTTTTGGAGCAGGTTAAAGTTTTAGGAGCAAGTCCATTCCCAAGTAACTATAAGCCCTGCCTGAACCAAACTTGCATGGATGATGCATCTAGGGATGTACACTACCAGACTTGCTTCGGATGCTGGATCTGACCTACATTTTCTAGATGAGTGACCAGGTTAAAGTTTTTGGAGCAATTTAAAGTTTTTGAAGCAGGTTCAGTCCCAAGGAATTATAAGCCCTACCTGGACCAAACTTGAATGGATGATGCATCTAGGGATGTACACTGCCAGACTTGCTTCGGATGCTGGATCTGACCTATATTTTCCAGATGAGTGACCAGGTTAAAGTTTTTGGAGCAGGTCTATTCCTAAGGAACTATAAGCCCTACCTGGACCAAACTTGCATGGATGATGCATCTAGGAAAGGACACTACCAGACTTGCTTCGGATGCTGGATCTGACCTACATTTTCCAGATGAGTGACCAGGTTAAAGTTTTTGGAGCAGGTCCATTCCACAGGAACTATAAGCTCTATTTGGACCAAACTTGCATGGATGATGCATCTATGGATGGACACTATCAGACTTGCTTCGGATGCTGGATCTGACCTACATTTTCATTCCCAAGTAACTATAAGCCCTAGCTAAACCAAACTTGCATGGATGATGTATCTAGGGATGGACACTACCAGACTTGCTTCGGATGCTGGATCTGACCTACATTTTTATTCCCAAGTAACTATAAGCTCTATTTGGACCAAACTTGCATGGATGATGCATCTAAGGATGGACACTATCAGACTTGCTTCGGATGCTGGATCTGACCTACATTTTCATTCCCAAGTAACTATAAGCCCTAGCTAAACCAAACTTGCATGGATGATGTATCTAGGGATGGACACTACCAGACTTGCTTTGAATGCTGGATCTGACCTACATTTTCATTCCCAAGTAACTATAAGCTCTATTTGGACCAAACTTGCATGGATGATGTATCTAGGGATGGACACTACCAGACTTGCTTAGGATGCTGGATCTGACCTACATTTTCATTCCCAAGTAACTATAAGCCCTAGTTAAACCAAACTTGCATGGATGATGTATCTAGGGATGGACACTACCAGACATGCTTCGGATGCTGGATCTGACCTACATTTTTATTCCCAAGTAACTATAAGCTCTATTTGGACCAAACTTGCATGGATGATGCATCTAAGAATGGACACTATCAGACTTGCTTCGGATACTGAATCTGTTGTTGGGATGAATACTTAATATTAAGAAAATATGATGTGAGATTTGCATTACTTAAACTGATAACATTCGTCGAGGTGAGCTTCGTAATCTTTGATTACCTATGTTTTTTTTTACATAAAAAGTGTAATTTCAATCCTTGTTCTTAGCTCATGACATAAATCATATGACCAAAGCAAAAATATCAGATATTATTCTGGGACTGAATTAGAAAGATAAGACATAAAAATAAAAGATCTAGAGTAACATATTTTTTCCCTGGAACACCTGTAAAGTGCATTTAAAAAAAAAATTCAAATTCTAATGCTTCATGCATGGGTTTTCATGTCTATTCTGAAAACATGACTGTTTTTGTTACAGATCCAAGCAATGATGATATAAATAAAGTGGATGAGTTGAAGAAGTTTCTGAGAAAGGAGAAGACAACTGTTTCCCATGCCAGAGGAATACTTGTTGGATGTGCTGAGGCTGGAAAAACGACGCTACTAAAGAGATTAAGAGGGCAAAGTCAAACTGTCAGCAAAGCTACAAAGTCGTCCAGGGGACTAACAACACTGCTGAAACGATTAAGATGGAAACGCCAAGATGCCAGTGAAGTTACAGAGTCCACCAGGGGACTTGAAGTCCATCAACATGTCTTCATTGTTAGAGATGGAGTTTTAGAAGGTAGACAAAAATCTGAGACATATTTAAAGGACAAATTAAAAAGACACTTTTCAAATAGAAATACCTTTTTGAGTTTTTGTATGAAACCCAGTTTTAAAGAAAATATTCAAGATATCTTCATCAAAATTTATACGCTGAATACACGTTACATGTATGTTGCCTTACTAATGAAGCCTGGGTGGGGCATTCATGTCCTATGGACATATTTTTAGCTCTTCTTATGTTCAGTCTAGAGCAGCCAACCAGGGAGCTGGAAAATATTCAATCATCATATAATAAATACTGTAGATTCCTAAATGAAATTAATTATCGCGTAATTTTGCGAGAAGCACCACACACGAAATTAAAGCCGCTTAATCCAAAACAGGCACATATTATCTTAAACAATAAAAATACGTCATTACGTAGATAATATATAAAAATAAATAATAAGATTGATTTAATAGTTTATTAAAACAATCCTTACATGGAAAACATAGATCAAAAACCTTACTGACAAACAGAAGTTCCTGACAGGAAGTTAAGATCTGTTGTGAAGTCACCTTTGAAAAAAAAAAGTTATCTGTTATATCTAATTATGAAGATAATTCAAATATGCATATACAGTGGACCGTCAGATATCCGGACGCCAGATATCCGGATGCTTCAGTATCCGGACGATTTTTCATCGGAACGAAATTTTTAAATGCTATTTTGTCTTGTTTAACTGGTGATTCAGATATCCGGATGCTTCACTTATCTGGACAAATGGACTGGGAACCAAAGCGTCTGGATAAATGAGGGTCCTCTTTATATATTTAAAGAATAAAGGAAAATCAGATATTTTTAAAGATTTTTTTAAAACAGAAGTTAAGTAACAAAGGCTAAAATATTGTCTGTGTACAGGTATAAGTACTTTGTTGTGAAAAAAATGCTCGAGTTTGTTTTTCATGAGATATAATCAATAAATTATACGAATTATCGGGATGTAGACGTAGAAGATACAATAGAAAAGAGAAAGAAGCAGGAAATAAATTATTTTGATATCTACACTCGATGCTAAAGCACTGTGGACTTAAAATTTAGTTTTGAAATTATACCTTTTAAAAAAAATCCCACATCTGTTTTTCATGAGATAAAAAGAAAAAAAATGTTCTTCATGCATTTAACCCCCTTCCCCGCAGTCACGCATTTTAACGCATATACCATTTCCTATTTCTGACGAAAAATCGCGCACTTACCATTTACCATTTCCCCGCAATCACGCATTTTCACGCACTTTAAACAGTTCATTAAATCTTCAATTTATTGCCAAATTCCAACTATTCCATACTTGCTTAATCTCATAAAATAAGAAAAAATATTTTCTAGTTAAAATATTAGATCATGACATTATTTACGCTAAACTTTAAAGAAATTTGTACCCTGCTAGAAAGTGCTTGCGGGGAAATGGTAACGTAATATTTCTATGACGTGAGGATTCAGCTTATTTTGCATAACAATTTTGTAAGTTGTAAAGTGTTAATATTCTTAAGAAAACAGGACTGAGAACCAAGTTTAGTTATAATTTTTTTGCCTAAATAATTACTGTATGATGTGCTAAATGATAACAGAACTTAATAACAACATTCCTGTTTTTCAGTGGCTGATGATGACTCACCATTCAAGTCATTTATCAGAATAAATGCTGCAGATTTGAAACCAGACCCAAGCAGTAGTACTGTTGCCAGCTCTGATGCAAAAGAAAATTTGGAGCTAGGAAGTACTGATAAAAACACTGAAGAAGATAATAGCCGAGAGGAAAAGAAAGAAGAGAATGTGGAAATGTCGAGTTCACCAACGGAGGACACAGAAGAAGAGAACTCAGTTGAGGTAATGGCCAGTCTTATCTCCCATGAAGCTACAACTATGGTGAAGGATGAAATTTTTCAGAAAATCTTGTCTGAAAAAGAGAAGTTACCAACAGTAAGCATGCTGGATTTTGCTGGACAATTGGCGTATTATGCCTGTCACCAAATTTACGTAACACCAAAGGCCTTCTTTATCCTTGTGTTGGACATGACTAAGAAGTTTGATGATGTTGTCGATCAAGAGAAAGATAACCAAGAAGGGTCAATCTTCTCCGTGTGGACATACAAAGGTAAGGCACTTGTAAAATGTTAGATTTTTAGCTCTTCTGAGCCAAAGACTCAAAAGAGCTAATGCTATCTATTGCCATTCGTTTGGTGTGCAGCATGCGTTGTGAAGGGTGCATAAACTTGTTAGAATACGGGCCATAACTCAAGATCCCCTTGGTCAATTATTGTCAAAGGATGGCTGCACTTAGGGATATGCAAAATTTGCGTCAAAATAAAATTTTAAAACAGACATTTTTCTTTGAATAGCAGAAATGATCAACATCTAACCTACAACTTACTTAATTACAATGAAGAAAAATATGTATTTACAATGTACGAATCTGTTTTCTGAGGTTGGGGTCAACACCATTTCTTCTATCTCCCTATGATATTGAGGACGCCAACTTTCTTTACTGACTTTATACATAGTCAGCACATGTTTGTCTATTGTTCTCCTTTTAACAGTAGTTGTATATTTGCATAAGTAATGGTGTGTTTAAATGAGATGAATAGACAAACATGCGCTCATGGTTAAAAAGAGAAAAAACTACTTCTTCTTACACTAGCTCTCTCTGTTGTAACCAAGGGCTGTGACACGTTGAATATTATAATTCACCACGTGATATTTTCTCAGGTAATTTTGTGAATACTAAATGTCGTCACATGACTTTTTGATAGCATGTTTTGTGATAACTAAGACACTGTGTTCGAACATGTTGAATAGTCAGCCAGCGATTTAAAATATTCTTTACTTACATGGATTAGCTCAAACGTTTTAAACCTTGGTAAATAATGTACTTCTGCCATACAGAATGAATAGCAAAATGGAAAATAAAGATCTCATATTTTTTAATTCATGTCATTGTTATTCATCCAGTCTAATTTTAGATCCATTTTTACGATATTAGCTCCTTTTCGTATACATGCATAATGTTTAATCAAGGGCAGATAAGTGTAAATTCTCTGTATTCGGAAAACCTTTAGGACAAAAAAAAACATGAAATTAAGTATTGTATTACAGTTTAAAAATATTTTTAACATTTTAATTAGGTGTCAAATGGGCATACTTCTGTAGAAAATACTTAAAAGTGAAATTAAGTTAACATTTAAAAGCAACAGAAGCGATCGAAAAATACCCAAAACACAGCGTTAAATGCAATCTTCCTTTGTCACGATGAATCCTTGGCCTTACAGCTCCCATCTATTAAAAACACTGTGTCATGACCCTTAGACAAGGGGAGATGATTAGAAAAAATGAAACAAAGTATTGGTTGCCAAAAAAATCTCTTGTCAAGAATCAATGTTGTAGATAAAAATTTACACGTCGGGGAATTACTCTAATGCAAACAGCATGGTCTCTAGGTCTCTTCAAAGTTGACCAGGAATTACATTAATTTTATTAAAATGATGATATTTTGCTTGCTATAAGGACTATTTGTCAGTCATATCACGTTGATTCAAAAAAGTAGGTCAAGATGACTTACTGTATAAATATTGTGGCCATTCTTTTTGAAAATGATTTAGAGGCATATTTTGAACAATGTCAGGTCTATGCTCATCAAATTTTATTAGTTGATGCATCATAGGCAGGGTTGTGGATAACCACTCGCCCAAAAGCAAAAGGAGATAAAATTTGTTGTTGGAGATTAAATATTAAAAAAGAAACTTAGACGAAGATTAATTCTGTTTATAATTTTCAATATATTAAAAATGGTTTTCATCTTTTTTGAAAGGAATGAATTAAAATATTTTCAACATTTATAAAAGGAGATAAAATTTGCTCTGGGAATTTAAATATTAAAAAAAAAGAACTTAGACGAAGATTAATTCTGTTCATCTTTATTCAAAGGAATGAATTAAAATATCTTTAACATTGGCAATTTTGAATAGAACCATTAATTTTGCAAAATTTTTCAATCATCTACAGTTTTTGGTCTTAGTCGTAGGTTCTTTTGTAAAACGGCCCAAACAGAGAATGTTTTTTTCCCCAGAACGTAATCAGTTTTCCTTTTTATTTTTGATGTACTTTCTATTTCTGAACAAACGCTCTACTAACCTAGATTATTTATATTGCGTGCAAGCATATTTGTCAAACATGTACGTGACCATGGTGACTTAGATCAAACATGGCGTTTTATCAATGCGGGGACAAGAAAAAGACAACTAATTATTTTCAATAGAACTCTATACAAACCTTAGGCCCTATCACTTCTTCTCTATGACAATTTCAGAGAAATCAGTAGCATCAATTACAGGGCTCTTGATTATCTATTATAAGGTGCCGTTTATAGGCAACAATCTATGATCAAAAAAGTACCTTTATCCCAAATAAATGTGTTTATTTTCCCAAAAGTCATTTCTCCCAAAATTTACAGAAAATATAGCTGGATATGTAATAATTATGTTTTTTTTCACATTCCTCTGTATTGCAAAGCAAAAATTTAGTTGATAACAAAGGTCAGAAAACCAGTATATCATGTTTATAAAGAATGATGGTTATTTAAAAAATTTCCAAAATGTCTCTATTTTTCCCGATTTTGACGGACCCGGATCCATTTCCAAAAATTGGCGTTAGAGCGCTACATTTAAATCTTCAATCTTAATAGAGGGTGTTACCATTGAAACTGACTAAACTTCTCCAAATACACTGCTTACTGTACAAAAGTACACTACATCATGATATATTTTTTCTCCAAATCAGATGTAGAGAAAGCTGTAGATACTGAAGGAAGATACATAAAAATATCTTAACGATTTAAAATCCGCATTTCCTACAGTCCATATTAATTCTTTTGAATAAGTTTATGCTTAGGAAATAATAATGATTATTTCGTTTAATTCTGTTAGAGTAGTGTAAAACTAAAAAAAATATTACTTTAAGTTCTAATACAACATTGTTTCATGGTTGTAACAAGTAAGTAAAAGACTGTAGATCTTACCCTTATCAGACATACGTGTTTGTCTTTAGCTTTACTGATCAGAGACCAGAAGTGATCATGCAAAAGTAAGGTATCCGTCATCTGTCCATCTGTCTAGTAAGCTGTCTGTCCGTTGAAAAAAATCAAAAGACTACCTCTCCCTGAGATTTTGGTTGATTACAGTATAACTCGGCACACAAGTAGACTACACAAGATACATAATTCTTTATATGGAATTCTGATCTTGATGAACAGTGTGGCAATGGTTACTAAAAATAGAAATTTCTGTGAAATATTTTCAAAATGCTACTCCTCCTTTTGATCTGATTTCAATATAACATGGCACATGTGCAGATTTTATACCTAAACGTATACATTCTATTTTTGCTACTGCAAAAATTTAAATCAAAGTGCTACTTTCGTTTTCCTTTGTCATAAGTACTAACCAGTAAAGTTACAGACTGATTAGAGGATTCTAGTTTTATTATTATGCTTTATTTGTTCCTTTAGACTTACATACTCTTGTTTCTTATAGACTACTTGAAGTTTTGGATTACCTCAATCAAGACATTTGGAGGCAAAAAGGCACCACTGTTTCTTGTTGTCACACACACGGAAACAAAATCTACAAATGTAAGTATTCTGTCTTAAACAAATGTAAATTATAAAAAGAATGAAGATATCTCCAACCTATCATGAGAATGTACAAGTACTGCCACATTTCAGAAATACACAAACAAAAAGATTTCTGGCCTATTAGGTCATACGATTGGTTACAGTCTTTACAAAATGAATTGGTGTCTATTTTTCTTGATGACTATTGGCAAAATGTGGATAATAATGCTTGTCTTTGATATTGGTGGCTTACCTGAGCTGCAAACTCAAGTGAGCTTTATGGATCATCCGTTGTCCTATGGCTATTCATCCGTCTCTGTATCCGTTGTTCCTCTTTAAATATTTCTTATTTTTATGCCCCCCCCCTTCGAAGAAGGGAGGGCATATTGCTTTGCTGCTGTCTATCAGTCGGTCTGTCGGTCCATTTAGTTTCCGTTCATTTTCTTCATAACCGTTGCACATACTGAAATGAAATTTGGTATACAGGTATATCAGTCATTATCAGATGAATTTCTAGGTCAAGTTCTGTTTGGGTACGATCGCACCATGATTGACAGAGTTATGCCCCTTGGACTTAGAAAAATTCCAATTATTTGCAGTTTCCGTTCATTTTCTTTTGAGAGGTTGCACATATTGAAATGGAATTTAGTATACAAATTAGTCAGAGGAATATCTAGGTCAAGTTAAGTTTTGGGTATGATCACACCATTTTTGACAGAGTTATGCCCTTTTGGACTTAGAAAAATTCCAATTTGTGGGGGAGGGGGGCATAAGTATTTTACAAACATCTCTTGTTTACTTCTTAAGTACCACTGCATGGGCCAAAATTAACCAAATTGGTACAAAGTATATTTCGCTTCACGAAATTTTAAAATTTCAAAGACATCCCCAGTTTTAATTCTGTAAGCTTAATTTGACCATTTTTTCTTGAACTAGTATTGAAATTTAACTTTACTCTGTTCTTAATATATTTATAAGAAATCGTGGTTTTGTGTTAAACAGAAAAATAGTTTAAAGAGATAGCAAAACTGGAAAACACCAAATGAAATTAAATGAATACAATAAATAGTCAAAAATATGATTACATATCAATTAGTTCTCTGTCATAGCGAAAAACAACTTTGCTATCTGTTGTTACAGTTGCATTAGCAGTCCTAATTGCCGGTAATAGGGTGTATAGAAGGACCATTCTTTCTTCCAAGGGGAGATAATCAAGGGAAAGCTAAGGAGAAGTCATTAGAAGTCACTAAAAATATCATCATAACAAGGTCCTTTGTGCCAGAAAAAAAATAAACTTGTGAGAAAGCAGCCTGTGATATTGTGTGTTAATTCTAATTTCTTTAAATCTTGGTTCTTAGGGGTAGGGTAGGGCCACAACGAAGTTTGGGGGGTATATAGGAATCACCTTGTCCGTCTGTCCGACTGTCTGTCTAGCTGTCCGTCTGTCTGTGCAATTGTGTCTGGTCCATATCTTTTTTACAGAGAGACATTAGAATCTACTACTCCACACAAAGATTGCCCATGACCGAAGGGTGTGTCATGACCTTGACCCATGGTCCTTTGGGGAACTTCAAGGTCACTGGAAGAAAAACGTCTTAATTCGCGTCCGCTCCATATCTTTCTTATGGATAAACTTGGTAGGTTCTCATTACACAAAAAGATTGCCCATTACACAATAGTGTGTCATGACCTTGACCCAAGTTCATTTTGGGAAGTTCAAGGTCACTGGTAGAAAAATTTCATAATTCGTGTTCAGTCTATATCTTTGTTACAGATAAACTTGGTAGGTTCTTTTTCACACAAAGGTTGCCCATGACCTGCGGGTGTGTCATGATCTTGACCCAAGGTCATTTGGGGAACTTCAAGGTCACTGAAAGAAAAATTTCATATTTCGTGTCCGGTCCATATCTTTCTTATGGATAAACTAGGTAGGTTCTCTTTTCACACAAAGATTGCACATGACCCGAGGGTGTGTCATGACCTTGACCCAAGGTCATTTGGGGAACTTCAAAGTCACTGGAAGAAAAATTTCATAATTCGTGTCCGGTCCATATCTTTCTTATGGATAAACTTGGTAGGTTCTCATTTCACACAAAGATTACCCATGGGTGTGTCAAGACCTTAACCCAAGTTATTTGGGGAAGTTCAAGGTCACTGGTAGAAAAATTTCATAATTCCTGTCTGGTCTATATCTTTCTTATGGATTAACTTGGAAGGTTCTCATTTCACACAAAAATTGCCCATGACCCAAGGGTGTGTCATGACCTTGACCTAAGGTCATTCGTATAACTTCGTGGTCTCTGGAAGAAAAATTTCATAATTCATGTTTGATACATATTTTTATTATGGAAAAACTTACTCCTGAAAAGCCCAGCGGGGGGTATTTTGTCCCGTTTGGACAGTTCTAGTTGATTTCTATGAAAGGTATTGCTGTGGTTACTAGAAATAGAAATTTCTATGAAATACTTTCAAAATGCTAAGTACTCCAAATACAATTTAAGTCTGATTATCATATAATTTGGCATTCAAGTAGAATAGACTGAGGTACATAATAATCCGTTTTGTGATTTTATACCCCCGCTTCGAAGGAGAGGGGGGTATACTGTTTTACCCTTGTGTGTGTCTGCCTGTCTGTCTGTCCATGTGTCTGTCCGTAACAATTTTTTGCCGCAGTTTTCTCAGCAACTACTCATCGTAGATGCTTGAAATTTTTACGCAATCTTTTCTGAGGCATTCCATATGGTGGGATACATTTTTGATAAAATTCGATGTCAACTTCCTGTTTTTCTGTGCGTCTGTCCGTTTCATACATATCAAATTTTCGTCGCAGTTTTCTCAGCATCTACTCATTGTAGATGCTTGAAATTTTAACACAATCTTCTCTGAGGCATGCCATATGTTGGGATACATTTTTGATAAAATCCGATGTCAACTTCCGGTTTGTCTGTGCGTCTGTCCGTTTCATACATAACAAATTTTCGTAACAGTTTTTGCATTAGCTATTCATCGTAGATGCTTGAAATTTTATTACACTCTTTGTTGAGGCATGCCATATGGTGGAATTAAGTTTGATATGAATCTGATGTCAACTTCATATTTTTTCTGTGCATCTGCCTATAATTGAACCTGTGTATATCAACATGATAGTGCTTATTTACAGCAGAGCGGGGGTATTACTAGTGAGCATTGGCTCACAGATTTCTTGATGATTTTGAAGATTGATGTTCATAGATGTTACCATAGTAATTTAAATTGAAAATTCTAAAAAAAAAAATATTAAAAGCTACTCCTACAGTTGTCTTATTATACCCGCACTTTCTAAAGAAAGTTCGGGTATATTGTTGTTACTCATGTCCGTCCGTCCGTCCGTCCGTCTGTCACACTTTTCTTCCCTGAACTCCTCCTACATTTTACACAGTAGCTTAATCATCTTTTGGGAGATGGTTGGTGGTGTCATGTAGATGTGCAGTAAAGTTTCGGAATTTTGATTTTGCCCGGGGGGGGGGGGGGGTCAAATGGGGGTCGAAAAATGACGTTTTTTGTGCAAAAATCCCCGTCTTCCCTGAACTCCTTCTACATTTTACTCAGCAGCCTAATCACCTTTTGGGGGATGATTGGTGGTGTCATGTAGATGTGCAGTAAGGTTTCGGAATTTTGATTTTGCCCCGGGGGGTCAAATGGGGCTCGAAAAATGACGTTTTTTATGCAAAAAGCCCCGTCTTCCCTTAACTCCTCTTACATTTTACTCAGCAGCCTAATCATCTTTTGGGGGATGATTGGTGGTGTCATGTAGATGTGCAGTAAGGTTTCGGAATTTTGATTTTGTCCCAGGAGGTCAAATGGGGGTCGAAAAATGATGTTTTTTATGCAAAAAGCCCCGTCTTCCCTGAACTCCTTCTACATTTTACACAGAAGCCTAATCATCTTTTGGGAGATGGTTGGTGGTGTTAGGTAGATGTGCAGTAAGGTTTCGGAATTTTGATTTTGCCCCGGGGGGTCAAATGGGGGTCGAAAAATAGCGTTTTTTATACAAAAAGCCCCGTTTTCCCTGAACTCCTCTTACATTTTACTCAGCAGCCTAATCATCTTTTGCGAGATTGGTGGGGTCATATAGATGTGAAGTAAGGTTTCGGAATTTTGATTTTGCCCTGGGGGGTCAAATGGGGGTCGAAAAAGGATGTTTTTTATGCTAAAAGCCCCGTCTTCTCTGAACTCCTCTTACATTTTACTAAGCAGCCTAATCACCTTTTGGGAGTTGGTTGGTGGTGTCATGTACATGTGTAGTAAGGTTTCTGAATTTTGATTCTGCCCCAGGGGGTCAAATGGGGGTCGAAAAATGACGTTTTTTATGCAAAAAGCCCAGTCTTCCCTGAACTTCTCCTACATTTCACACAGTAGCCTAATCATCTTTTGGGAGATGGTTGGTGGTGTCATGTAGATGTGCAGTAAGGTTTTGGAATTTAGATTTTGCCCCGGGGGGTCAAATGGGGGTCGAAAAATAACGTTTTTTATGCAAAAAGCCCTGTTTTCCCTGAACTCCTCTTACATTTTACTCAGCAGCCTAATCAACTTTTGGGAGATGTTTTGTGGTGTCATGTAGATGTGCAGTAAGGTTTCGGAATTTTGATTTTGCCCCGGGGGGTCAAATGGGGGTCGAAAAATGATGTTTTTAATGCTAAAAGCCCCGTCTTCTCTGAACTCCTCTTACATTTTACTCAGCAGCCTAATCACCTTTTGGGAGATGGTTGTTGGTGTCATGTAAATGTGCAGTAAGGTTTCTGAATTTTGATTTTGCCCCAGGGGTTTAAATGGGGGTCAAAAAATGATATTTTTTATGCAAAGAGCCCCGTCTTCCCTGAACTTCTCCTACATTTTACACAGTAGCCTAATCATCTTTTGGGAGATGGTTGGTGGTGTCAGGTTGATGTGCAGTAAGGTTTTGGAATTTAGATTTTGCCCCGGGGGGTCAAATGTGGGTCGAAAAACGAAAAAAAAGCCCTGTCTTCCCTGAAGTCTTC